AACTCTGTTCACTCAGACCAATGACTGGTCTTACACCTTATCTAGTTAATAAGTTCTCCGAAGTATGACGGTGACTCTGTACGACTGTACATGCAAGTTTTGGGTGTATTTTGCATGGGCAAGAAGTAAGACATTCAGATTACTGCACTTTGATCGTAATTTCACGCATAAGCTGTTAAGTTTATAAGAAGCCGGGAAATTGTGAAGTATTTGACTATCATTTTAATTTATTTCAATAATTGGCAAAAGAAATACAGCATTGTGATTGGATAGACATTTTGTTAATTGGTTGGAGGATTTCACCATGAGCTGACATCAGTTAGAGAACCACTGGAAAACCACTTGGGAGTACTGGACGGCTGATATCAGCTCATGATGAAATCCTCTAACCAATCAAAATGAATCCCTACAAGAAATCATCACTTGAAAAATTTATTAATTGTTAAAATCAGTCACCTACTGAAAAAGCTCAGCAACCTATAAAGATTTAAAAGTTCACCATTATCGAATTTGTCGGAATTGGTAGTTTCTGGGTAGAATGTTCACAAGCTACGCACTTGATCCAGATTCAAATTACGGCCGACCCATTTCTAGTTTATTAACCGATAGTAAGCAGGTGCTATTTGTAAATTTGAGTACCACTAACGATAGATACTCAGAATAAAGAACAAGATCCGAACTTTCAACGCACATGTGATGTCAATCAGTCATTTCTTCTATACGGGTCAGAAACTTGCACTGCGTGTCACGAAAAGGATTTTCAACAAGACACTGCAGATTTTTATCAACAGCTGCCACCTTCGATGGCTACATACTGAAGACCGGATTCTTGGCCGGCGAGAAATAATTAGAAACAAGGAACTATGGCTGGTGACAAACCAACGAAGAGCCGATTGCTCAACAGATATGTATGAGAAAATCGAGATGGATTGCGCATACGCCGAGGAAGCTGTAGAATGACTTAGCGCGCCAAGTCATCCCTCGAGTTGTTCGTTGGTGTGAGGGTGATATGGGAAGATCGTGTGGCGAGGAGGAAATGAGAGATTCTAGGCAATCGTGGACCCAGTTGAAGAGAACAGCGGAAAATTGGAGAAAGTGGGTATGCTTTTACGGGTTGATCACGGATTGGTATCAGTTTCAGAACCACTGAAAAGCAGCTGGAAGTACTGGACGTCTGTTTCGTCCTAGTTTGGGAATCATCGGCAGTACGCCATTGAATCGGGTCCCAGTGGCTGAATGGTCTCCGAGCTTGCCTTGTAACCGGAAGGTCATGGGTTAGAATCCTGGCGGTGGGTGTGTACTGCCGATGATTCCCAAACTAGGCTGTTGAAACAACTATCCAGTAATTCCAGCTGGTTTTCAATGGTTCTCTAACTGATATCAATCCGTGATCAACTCGTAAAACCATAACTAACCAAACTATAGAAAATTAATCTGATGCTCACTGGTGACTTGCTACAGGACAGACTTTCCTGGAGTTCTAGTGAGAAGTCGTGACCGGTGAGGTCCATCCAGTCAAGTGTGAGGATGAATTTCCCACAGACGACATTGGTTGGTGGTCGCGCTAAAATCACGAATTGGTAGAAGTTAGAATTCATGAGCCATGGAATCGGGTCTCAGTGGCTGAATGGCATACGAGCTTGCCTTGTAACCGGAAGGTCCTGGGTTCGAATCTCAGTGTGTGCTTACTTCCAATGATTCCCAAACTACAGAAAACGACTAATTGCAAGTTTGATCACGAATCGAAGTCAGTTGGAGAACCTGAAAGTACTGTACATTTGTTTCGTTCTAGTTTTCTACTTTTCAGCGATATATACCCACTGAGGTTCAAACCCAAGATCTTTCAGTTATAGCAGCCTTTGTGACCCCATCCAATGAGGCGGCAGTTACAACTTCTGTCAATTAGCGATTTATTTAGGTATATATCAACCAGCAGTTGCTGTCAAGGGCAAGTAACTGACCTCTCATCTGAGTTAGTGGACCCCACTGGTAACGACATCTCACTAGAACGATCAAATCAAAAATAGTGTAGGGCATATCAATTTTTGGCTGTCACATATGGTTTTAACTGTGCGGGTTAATCAGCTATCTTTTTTCTATCTGTTTATTGGAACACTGACCAAAAGTTGTCTTAAGATACAAAAATTTAAGTACATTACCCTTAAGTTACCATTACAAGTTTAGAATATATAGAATTCATCTTTATAGACATCACATTATCCAGCATATTATGGGGGAAAAGGCTTTCCATTTTTTTACAAGGACCAAAGAATTCATTACAGAACGGTACATTATTGATGTCTATTTTCTAATCTTGAATTTTATAATGAAATCATGCAATAAATGAACGTAAACGGAGACGTTGTTTTCCCAATCTGGCAATAATAATAAATGAAAATAAGTCTAACAATTATACCCTACTTTTCAATTAATTCTGATTTGTTTGATGTCAGCAGGACATGTTTATATCTGCGATGTTATTATCTACGAGAACCATTCATAATCACCAATAAATTGTTTATTGGAAGAAATTAATAATGAATAGTCCCCTAAATGTGTTGTCAATCTACTGCTAAATTTGAAACAAATCAGCAGACCCTACAAAATATCTCTTGAAAACTACTCTCATGCTTGCAAGTGACTGGCTAGAAGGAGAAATTGCCTGGAGGGAGTTTTAGTGAGTAGTCATGATCAGTGAGTTCACCCTGTCAGGAATGGGGACCAACATTAGCTGGTGGATGTGATAAAATCATGAATTGGTAGAAGTTAGAATACATGGGCAATTAAATCGTGCTCCAGTGGTTGAATAATCTACGAGCTTTCCTTGTAAATGGAAGATCCTGTAGTGGAACCTTGAGGAGTCGCTACTGCGTATGAGTTCCAAATTAGGACGAAACAGCTTTCCAGTAGGCTAAGCGAGTTCTTCATGGTCCTCTAACTGACATCAATCCGTGGTCATACTAGAAACAACTGAGAACTTTACAAACGAAATCTTGGAAATGGGGCATTATTCTCTAAGTAGATTACAAATCCCCATTGAGTCATATGAAAGGGAGAAGATGTTCAGCGAAGAGACTCTTTTCACCGGCGAAGTTCATTCACATAGCTGTACAATCGCATTTGTATACAATTATTTGTGTGCGTGTTTGTACATGAGGTTTGTCAAGTGTAGATAATTAATCAGGTAATACAAGAATGATCTAATATAGAAACAAAGTTAATTAGACAACAACTAAAGTAAAATTGACTTAGTAGGTTAGATGACGTATTATAAGTGACTAAAATGTTACAACTTAGGTCAGGATGGCAACAGAGGTAATTACAAGTAGAAACTAAGTACAGGTGGGGTAGAGAATAATGGCACTTAGATTATAACTAAAATTAAGCAAACAAGTCGGATAACGCCATATAAATGATTAGAAATTGAGCGTTGGTCAAATCACTAACAGTGGTAATGAAGTGCAGAAATTAAATCGAGTGGGGGTAGAGAACAAGAAAGTTGAAAATGTAAAATATTACAATTGAAAAGACAAAATAATACTAATGAACAGACAGAAGAGAAAAATATTAAGTAGAATTTACCTGTCGAGTATTAAGATAGATTACGTCAATTGCAAGTGTAGTGATTGAACGAACTTCTTCTGTATGCAGAGTTCAGGACTTAGCAAGTGAATTGCCACTGCTTCTGCAGTTTGAAGAAGTCTGATTCGTACACCTTTAAGAAAACTGCTTCATATTCTGTAGACGACTTTGAAGTTTGTTTGGGATATAGCTTGGTGTCCGGAATCTATCAGATGTTCTAAGATGGAGCTGTGGGGGCATCGTTTTTCTCCTATGTAGAAACATGTTGGTAAGTGTTCGATGATACATTTGGATAGCGAACGCTGGGTACGGCCGATGTATATGGCTCCACAGGAGCAGGTGAATTGATGCACACACATTGATGAGGACAGCAGTGGTAGCTTATCCTTCACGTGGAGAAGGTTAGTTGTAGTTCAGATGCGAAGAAGGTTTTCTTAAGTGAGAGCGACAGTCGATTTTTTAGTGTTTCCGCAGATATATCTCCATTGAATTGAAGTTTCGTGTAGAGTAGTTTTTTTCGGGACGCTAAGCGTGAGTGGCTTCTGGCAGTTCATCTTCTATGGTTTCCGGTGTGCAAATTCTGCGAACTCTGTAGCTGAGTGGACGGAGCAGGTTTCGTTCGGTGTATTATTATTCTTTGTTATAATTATTTGTGTTATTTTTTCTTTATTTATTTTTATTATTCTTTGTTATAGTATGACAGATATATATCTCAAAGTTAACTGGTGGATAGTGACTAGCAGTGGAATCCAAGATGCACATTTCGTCCTCTGATTGGGACTCGTCATCTGGATGTACCTGTATTGCCCAGTGAGTGATGGTATCCCCACCGAGGCTCGAAATGCACATCCCGGATTCCTCTGCTAGTCACCATCCACCAATTAACTTCTGGTTAAATGCCCAGACATAGTGAAGGCATCTGCACCAGGAGCCGACATGTCAACTTGAGACCGATCAATCGACGGGAAAGATCTAAAATTGAATTAGACAATTTCCTCGTCAAAATAATTCCCGTTTACCCCATACATGGTGTTTTTATTTCCTCAAATGAATGAGCAAGATTTTCAACACTAAGACTCATGGTATAACTTAACGGGGTTTGCTGTTATATTTCCATATCCCACCATCAGTTTTCCATATATACGATAAGTGTAATAATTATAAATGTGAATAATCGTCATAATGCATTGAATTCAAAAAAGAAACAGTGGGATATATATCGATGACATATAATCTGAAAACTATTCAACTATTGGATCCTTTAAGTGATTTGCTGAATAGATTACGTCATTTCCGAGTACTTTTTATATCCCAATTCAAAAGAATAATGTATGTAACCAATAAAACGTTTCTTTGTAAACCTAATAATTATACAAGTTGTTGTTGTTGTTTCTGTTTTTTCCCCTCCATTCTAATAGTACACGAAGTCAGCTTTATGCTGGATTCACAAGACTACGATTACATAATACCTCATAATGGATTGATTGGCTTCCGTTTATGGATACATTCCAGTGAACAACAAGCCCATAATATGCTCGATGTGAAAGAGAATCTCTGGAGAGGGAATGGAGGGAATGAAAGTCAGTTATATCAACGAACAGGGATCGAGTCGAATGAAATTATTGTCAGTACAGAATTTCAAACTGTTATCCGTGTAGCATTAGATATGAATGTGAGTTTCAAAACTGTTTTGTTTTTATTTGCAAGTTATGAATAAAATGGGTGAATACTTTAGAAAAAAGAGTCATATTGCATACCATACGCTTTCTTATCTAATTATATTTTTAGTCAAGCATTTATATGTGCGTTTACAAGCCAAAAATTTGAGGTAGGCTGACACACTGTGTGTCGGTGACACAGCGGTAGAATGCCTGCCTACCACGCAAGTGGTCAGGGATTCGATCGCCGGCCGACGCACTCTTTCACCTCGATAAGCCAGTAATAAGACTGGTAAAGAGGGAAGGTTGGGCATGAAGTTAGCGACCCCATCCTGTAAAAATAAATACCACTGCTACCGAAACTTCAAGCCCTTAGCTTGAAGCCCTATGTTCCAATGGGAAAGTAAAGGAACTAAAAAAAGGGTCACACATTTCGAATCTTCAAGAGTTATTTTGTAGGGATTTGATTCGTTTCAAATTCGGTCATCGATCGATGTCAATTACAAAACCATTGAGGAGCAGAAAGTCTTAGACATCTATTGAGTCTTAGTTTGCAAATCTTCAGGAGTACACAACAACCAGGGTTCGCACCCAGGAACTTCCACTTACAAGTCAAGCAACTAGGACCTGGTCTAATTCGTTATTTAAGTGCGACCACAAGGGAATGTGATCGACGAGTGTTTGTCATCAGTCTCGACCGGGCGGATCTCAATGCTCATGACCTCTCAAAAGAACTTGAATAAACTTTGTCCTGAAGTCAGTAATTAGCAAGCATCGTATTAATTTAAGGATAGTGGTGGTCACACTAAAATTCACAGGCTGATCATTAAGTCAGGTTCCAGTGGGTGAATGATCCACGAGGTCACCTTGTAACCAGAAAGTTCCGGGTTCTTACCACTGTACTACTGCAGAGTCACAAGCTAGGACGAAACAGCTTTCAATTAATCTTTGATCTTCAGTGGTTCTCTAACTGATATCAATCCGTGATGTTACTTGAAACATTAAATCATTGCATTTCCCGTTTCTTTTCACCGATTATGCTTCTCTCTCTGTGAGATTTGATTGTTTCATATTCCACTTTCATGGAGTCACCATCGATAATTCCTGACAATATCTTTGGATATGCCTAAGATAACTTTGATAGTCCATACAAACAGACCATTTACTTAAAAAAGCCTAATTTGCTGTCGTAAAACCGCTAAAATGTTTAAAAATCCCACACATCTTCAAGTATAATCTCACTTTTCATGCTTTTGTTTTACAACAGGTTTAATTTCCGTTTCCCTGTGTACAATATTTTTTTACCCTAAAGGCGATTAGCGCCTTTAAATGGTTTTAAATATTTACACTATCCATTGTGTTGATTATCAAGGTCATTTAAGCATACAGGATTGAAAGAATCAAATTTATTCTACAAATTGAATAGAACCTTATTTAAAATTTACCACATTAAATATTTCATCCTGTAATATTCCTTGTTATATGATATCTTTTATCTTTTTGAATTGAACGCGGTGACTTTATTCCTTAAAATAACGGAAACAATTATTGTATCAATTTTTGTGTGATACAAAAAGTTACAACGAAATGAAATATAAGCCTTTTATAGTCTCCGTTTATTATTCTAGAAACAAAAATATTACTAATAATAACAATAATAATAATACCTAAATACGCTATAAAATGGACACACAATGTATCGTCGTCTCCTTAGTATTCATTTTTCTAAAATGTCACGTAAAATATTGAACTTAGTAAATATTAAGGTTTCTATAAGGAATAGGAAGAGTCGCCATTGTTTTGTTGACGTAATGAGAGGACTACGAATTGTGTGCAAGTATGAGAAACATAGGTTTCTTTCCTAATTAAAAATGTATATATATACAAATACTATATATAATACTACTACTATACGTGCGTCGGTGGCATAGCGGTTAGGACGCTCGCCGACTATGCACGTGGTCCGAGGTTCAATCCCCGGCCGACAAGGCACTCCTTTACCTCGCTAAGCCAGAAATAATGCTGATGAAGAGGAAAGGTTGGGCATGAGACTATCAACCCCATCCTGTAAAATAAACACCACTGCTACAGAAACTCCAAGCCACTAGCTTGAAGCCACCCTGTGTTCCACTGGGAACGTGAAGGAAAAAAATAATATTAGAAAAAACATGAAACAGTCGAATATTCAAATCAAACTAAATGTACCTTGCCGTATGATTTTTAATGGGAGAATTCAGACAATGTGTTATCTTTTCTAACTGTATTCCATATATACATAAATGGACGTACATGTTGTCATAATGCACAGTTAACCGTAGGAAAAAATGAAGGTAATCGTTGATTATTTCAAGGCTTAAGGCAGTTGACAAGGAAGATCTATGGTCGTTAATTTCTGCAAATTTATTCAAAGTAAGTGTTTTCTAACATGCAATACTTCCTTTTGAATATGCAGTTCACCATGAATACAATTGAGGGCTGGACGAGGCAGAGGTGTTGTAGTACGTTGTGGGTCATTATTATTATACCCTTGAGCTTCGAATGGAACATAGGGCTTTAAAATAACATCTCCATTCTTCTTCAGCTGGCTCTACGTCAGCTCATAAGGTCTCGCCTCCTCATCACTTGATCTCTTCCATGTCACCCTCGCGGCACAAGGTAAACTAGTCTTTTGTCATTTTAGTTCCACTCAAGCGGTAATGTAGCACGTGATATCGCTCAGTGGTCTTCTCAGTGGAGTTTTCCCGATTCATCTCCATTATATTCACCATAATTGTTGAGCTGTAGGTTTATGGTTGCTTTGTTCCCAGAGTTTCTGGTTGCTAGTTCTTCCTCACTTGCCTCTCAAACCAATAAACTGGCTAAAGAAGCAGGCAGAGAAGACAGGACTCCAAGTGAACATAGAGAAGGTGTGGTTGATGAAGACAACCAACTAACAATAACAACCAACACCAATCACTATCAAAGGAAGAGATTTAACAGAGGTTACCTGCTTCACTTATCTAAGAAATATCGTTCCAACTACAGAAGGAACAGATGATGTCAAAGTCAGAATCGGAAAGGCAAGATACGCCCTCATCAACCTGAAACCAGTTTGGAAATCTTCGGCACTCAACCAGCATGAAGAACAATATTCTGATTTTCAACTCAATGTGAAGTCAGTCAGTCACTTCTTCTTTACGGGTGAGAAATTTACACTGCATGTCCAGCGAAAGATTTCCAACAGCCTTTTACAGACTTTTATCAACAGCTGACCTCACTCACCATACTGAAGATCAGTTGGCTAACAAGAAGGAATTAGCAACAAGAAATCCTGGCTTGCAACAAATCAACCAATAGACGATTGCTCAACAAATATTTAGAAGAAAGTAGAGATGGATTGGGCATACGTCGAGGAGGCCGTCAAATGACATCACGTGCAATGCAGGCCGTCACTCAAGAGGAATCCTAATGGGAAGTGACGAGTGGGTCGTCGGTGCGAAGATGATATGAAGGAGGTCGTGTTGTGAGGAAGAGATAAGAAGTTATGGGTAACCCTGGACCCAGTTGAAGAAGACAGTAGAAGATAGAAGAAAGTGCAAATGTGTTGTTGAAGCCCTATGTTCCACTCATAACTCAAGGGAATAATAATAAATAATTCTTTCTCCCTGACCAACCATTTGATCTTCAGTATGGAACCATCGACGACAACTGTCCATAAAATTCTGCAGCGGATTGTTTGGAGTGCTTTTCGTGATGCTCAATGTAAGCTTCTTATCCACACAGAAAAACTGACTAATTTTACATTAGTGTAAAAAATTCCAATTTGTTCTGTATGCCGACTGAGTGCAGAAGATTTTCACACTAATTTCAGACTGATGAATGTTTGCCTTGCTTCATCCGATCTTGTCTGGTTTTGTCATCCTCATGAGTGCCATCCTCGTGTAACTGAAACAGAGCTTCTTAGACAAGTGGCGGAATTAACGTCTTTCAAATTTATTCCGTTGATAGTGATCGGTACCTGTTGTTAGTTGGTTATCTTCATCACCTTCGTCTTCTGTATATTCACCTGAAATCCTGTTTTCTCTTCCTGCTTCTTCAGTTACATTGTCGGTTTTCACCTGTATGTCTTAGAGTTCGTGTATCATTAAACATGAACCATCCACAATATCCAGAACATCTGGAGTCTTCTTGTTTGTCCAAAATATTCCTGTCTTCTCGCTCATCACGCGTCATGTGCCGCATAACCCAATTCAACCAAAATTAGGAACATCACTGACGATAGTCACCGACTGATGGCCTTGTCTTACTCCTGTCTTCACTTCAAAGGCTTCTCTGAGTTATCTGTTGTGGATCACCTGACATGTGGCATTGCCACATAGCTCTTGAATGGGGTTGGTGAATATTTCTGGCACGCCGTCGAAAATGATATAGAGATGCTTTCTTCGATGATGATGATGATGATGCATGAAGTTGCAATTTGATCAGCACATGATTTACTTTCTTTGAATCCAGCTTGTTACGGACGGAATTCTGCACCGAGCTGCTGGTCATTTTGTTGTCATTAGTAGTGAAGTCAGGGTAAGATGTACTCTGTTAAATAAAACTAACCAAATCAAGTATGTCTCTTTTTATTTACCATATTAAACGTTAATTTCTCTCAGATTCATAAGCCTTTATCTTTTCAACATTCCTTAATTATTCCTTCTAATGTGGTTCATTTTTTCAATTTTAGGTTCGTTTTAGGCAAAACAGTTTGAAAAGAACGTTGTGTTCACCAATGATACAATCTTCAGACTGTGAATATGATAGTGATGAAACATCACGCAAAGGTAAGCGGAATATATATATATGTCGGGACACTCGTTTATTCAACGATTCAATTTCTACTGGAAAAGTTTTATTTGTCTTGTAAAAGTTATTTAGCTGTGAATTCAAGTGCTTTGGAAATATTGTCATTAATGAAAATGAACAATAACACTTTAAGGTGTGCAGTTTTCATTTTTTATACTTTACGTTCCCCAGTGGAAGATAGGGCTTCAAGCTAGTGGCTCGAAGTTCCTGTAGCAGTGTTTATTTTACAGGATGGGGTTGCTAGCCACATGCCGAACCTTTCCTGTTCACCAGCATTATTTCTGGCTAAGCGAGGTAAAGCAGTGCCTCGTCGGCCGGGGATCGAACCTCGGACCACGTGCATAGTCGGCGAGCGTCCTAACCGCTATGCCACCAACGCACAAGGGGTGCAGTGAATTTAGTTTTTCATTGTCAAACAGCAAGATGATAGTTAAATAAACATTATTATTGCTGAGTGAAAAACTGAAACTCATATATGACGTTAAAAGTGCCTACTTCAAGCTTCACTTAGTATAAGACGAAAACAGATTTTTAAAGACATCTGTTTTATCTGTACATGAAATAGCCACGAGATGGTAAACATTAGTTGGCAAAGTTGAACTTTAAGCATCACTAACTACCAATCAGCAAATGGCCTCGAAAGCACCAATCACGTGAAGGAGGCACTTTCGTGTATGGAATACATATATATTTATGAAAAAATTGCATAAAACCTGTAGAAAAGTGTTACTGAGGATACCTTTCTCTCACATTTGATAAAAGTAGCTCTCATTTTTACGTCGGAGTATCAACAGAGTGTAATTCCATTGTGGGTAAAATTTATTTTGATAAAGTTTCATAGTTTTATACAGCACTATTTAATGAGCAGTAGATTGTGCTCGAAACGTCATCAGTAAATATTACTACTGTATAACACTGTGAGACTTTATCAAAATAAACTTTACTCACAATGGAATTATACCCTACCACAGTGCACAAGTACTATTCTTATATCAACACAGTAATTTAACCACATTGTATGCATGTAATTATTTAGGTCTTCTAAACCTAACAATAAACCTAATCTTTCCTGAACCTAACCCTAAAGTATAAATTTCCCTTAACTAACTGTAATCTAACTCGAACCAACCAACTGTCACCTTTGTTAGCTCAAACTAACCATAACTTGTCCTTGGCTTAAAGAGTAACTTAATCTTCCCCAAATTTAAGCTTAAACTTCCCAGATATCCCCTTTGATAAAATAACACTTCAATGAGCTTATTTTATTGATGATGACAATATTATTTGCCGAATTCCACTAACTTGCTCAGTAAGCTTTTCAAGGTCATTGGTGTGGTCCCACTCCATTGGTAGTTTGTGGTGCTTAAAGTTTAACTTGGCCCATTAGTTTTTTTAAAATTCGTGTTTTGAACATAACCGGTTGGTGGTCATAACACTGTGTGAAATGTTGTCATTGTTTCCTGCCTGACTTCAACACTGAGTGGTACTGCTAGGCGTAAAAAGGATAGAGAAACAGATAAAAGAGTGTGAAATGTGATGCATTTCAAGAAATGTAATAGAAAAGTGTGTATTTGACGCATAAAGTCTGAAATAAAATGGTTTTGAAGGAATAAAAGTACTAGATGGACCTATATAATGTTTTTTGAACTGACAGCATACAGATTTTCTGGCTTGTCGAAACGTTCAAATTAGGCACAAAGCTTCGTTCAACTTCCTGGTGAACAAGGAAGTTCAGACTGCTAGCTTAAAAGTCACTTTTGAAGTGATCCCATAATTATTAAATAGTTAAAGGCAGTCGACAAGAAACCTTCAAACTAGATTTCATGCCTGTTGGCACTGGTCTGAAATCTTAAAGGAATTTCATACATTTATTCCCCATTAATGAATTTGAATAAAACAAGAACAACAGCGGTTTTTGCAGAATAAAATAGTACCATCATTCTTTATTTCGTTGGCTTCTCATCAGCTCAGCTGCTTACAGGTCAAAGTCATTATTAAGTATATCCACAGAAACAATTTAAACATACTTGCACAGAGAGTTCATTTTTAAACTAAAATCCATCAATGAATATATCCATACAGTAATAATAAATATATATATGTAGCATTAAACAGTATTCCGAACAATAATGATCACACACAATGGAAACATTCGACATTACGTAATCAGATGAAAGAGAGGTGAAAATATCCAGTTACCAGGGCGAAGAAAGACTGATAACTGCTTCCTTCTGAACGCATCAATCTGGTTTGATGCGCTTGATGGAGATGGCTTCAGCTAACCTGAGGAAAAGTGTTCTGTTTTGCCTAATGATAATGTTTAAATCACTTGAACAAATGCTTTAGACAGTGTCATCGCCAGGCATCTGCTTGAAAGTGGTCATGAGGTGGACGTCGAAAAGTCGTTCAAAATTATCAATAGGCAAAAGAGCTCAATTCCCCTCAAGTTTGCCGAAGCCATCTCAATCCAGGGCCTGAAACCTGATTTATGCGTTTAGAAAGAAGCGGCTATCAGTCTTTCTTTACCCTGTTAACGGGATATTTTCACCTCTCATTCATCTGATTACGAAATGTCGAAATTTTCCATTGTGTATGATCATTATTGTTCGAAATAGTGCTTAATCTTATATATATTATCACTGTATGCAGATATTGAACTGTACGTATGTTAAAATTGTTTCTGTGGATATACTTAATAATGACTTTGGCCTGTAAGCAGCTGAGCTGATGAGAAGCTGACGAAATGAACAATGATGGTACCATTTTATTCTGCAAAAACCTCTGTTGTTATTGCTTTATTCAGAATCTTAAAGGAACTTATGCCCCTTCTGAGATTTCGATCCGTGTTATCCAGTGTGTTGCAGTCAAATACATTACCGATAGGCTATTCAGGCTTTGAGCTAACCTCCCTGATGGTTCTTTAGAATACTTTAATTGGACACTAGGCAGCAACCAGTGCCATGTGTTTCTGATTTCAGCACTGGGTGACACGGTTTCAAATCTAAGTTGAAGGTATGAATTTCTTCAAAAATACAGATACGCTTTACTGACTGGTGAGTGCCACCAAACGTGGAACCTACGTCCGTGACTTCCTACCAATTGTTTCCAACCATCTAATGACAGCAACTCAGAGTTTATCATGTCGGCCAACTACCTAGCATAGTTGATACTTTGCAAAATTGATTGATAATATTTAGTCTGTACCAAACAATGCATTAAATGCAGGATGCTAGTTACTAAGCAGTGTCCAATCAAAGTCTCTAATACAGTCATGAGTAACCAATTATTAGGCAAGAAGTCATTGTACTTCTGTAAACTGTTCCTTCTGGTAATGTGCAACTGTGGCGTTCTAGATGCTTCTTCTAAAACTGAAATACGCACAACATATCATTATATAGACGAAGCAATAGGAATACATTACCCAATGGAACTCATTTTAGACTTTGTGCTGTTACCACGCGTATTTGGTTTACACAGTTACATTTTCAAGGCTTCATGCTGTCATCATTTGTCTCAACATCGTTTTTATTCACTCAGTCACTTAGAAAGGTTTCTTTGGTTCCTCTATTCCATGCCGTATTACAGATAGAATCAAAACACTAGGCTTCTTACTTAAATTTAATTTCGCAAATTGAAAAATGAGCATGAAAGATAAGGTTGTGCAGAAATTAGGCATTATTGGACAGCATTTCTGTGAATATATACCTGATGGATTTTCAGTACAGATGTTCTATTACTGATATATATATATATATATATATGTATATTGATAAACAATTATTATGCTTCTCACCAAACAAAAAGTAATGAATTAAAAATCCATGAAAATTATGCGGTTCATTGCATTCATTCTGTTGTTCCGTTACCTTAGAAACGTGAAAATGTGAGGAAATAAAGGATTTAAATTACGTTTTACTAAAAGGTAATGTAAACGGAAATCTGATGGAAATGAGAGGTTACAAACAGATTAACAGAACTTCATATATTAACTTTGTTATGCGTTCGACTTGGTTTTAATTGTGCATACATATACGGGGGAACTGAAATAATTCTCATTTCAATCTATAGAATTTGTTTAAGTATTAACAGGTGAGGCAGTAACTCATCGAAGGTGACACTGTGAAGTGGTCGGGCTATGTCATGAATTGGCAGAAGTTAGAATTCATGGACTGGCCATTGGATCGGGTCTCAGTGACTTAATGGTCTATGAGCTCGCTCACGTTGTGACCAGAAGGTCCTGGGTTCGAGCCCGGTGGGTGCGTACTGTGAAGAGCCCCAAACTAGGACGAAACAGCTGTCTAGTGATATAAGTGATGGATTCCTTACATGTTAAAATATATCTATAATTCACACCGTAGCTTGAGGCAGATTGATAGGAAGCGGCTAAAACTGAAAACAGAATTTTAAGTCAATGAATGTAGGACTGTTTATTCCTAAAATCTGAATTTAATTAACGTTGTGGACACGAAATAACTTCATTGGCCAGCTTGTGTAACCTTGAGCCCACTTCTAACCAATCAGAACAATTTATTCTCCTCTAACCTAGTCGAATTTTAATACGGCTAAGAATGTATAAATATGATGCATTACCTTATCCCTTATCTTCTGCTGTTACAACGCCGGTTTGATAAAAAAACTGTTTTCCACATGGTAGCCTAATGTCATAGATTTATTTCCACAGATATTGTTTTCTCTTCTAAGCACACGGTTAAGTTTGTTTTCATAAATGCTAAATTCACTCATTTATAACTTCCAGTCAACATTTCGGGATTATAAATGTGTCAAGAAGTAACACTTAAACACTTCCAGCTTCCTTTCCAACTGAACTGTCATACCATGATAAATTCTCTATTAAGTCATGAACTCGATATAGACGAAGTTTATAATACATCAGGTATTACACAAGATGAGAGAAACCAGCAGTTAGAATTTAGCGCCACGTCACTTTGTTAAACAGTAAGAATGGCTTTATTTAACGATTCTGAATGATCTGAAATTTGGTTGGAGGCTTTAATCATGAGCTGGGAGTACTGGACAGCTGTTTCATCCTACTTCGCGATTCATTGGCAGTAAGCACCCACCGTCAGGGTTCGGACCCTGGACATTCTGGCTACAAGGCTAGCGAGCTCGTAGAGCATTAAGCCACTGGGACCCGATCCGATGGCAAGTCCATGAATTCCAACTTCTGACAATTCAGTTGTTCTGAAATCGTATAGATCAATATCCTACTTAAAAGGATAACGAATGTCTTACCATGAATAATTGTCGACTCACTTTTTTCCTCCACATTCTTCAGAAGACTCTTTCTGGCTATCCAATGATAATTATCACCGTTTTTGGAATGCACGAATTATTTCTGCTACACAATCTTCAAAAGCAACAATAATGTACAGTTTATTAGCACTTCGTCACCCTAATCTATTTATGCGAAATAAAATTGATCTGGAACGTGGACTGAGGATACAACAACGTGCTTACGTCCAACTGGCTAATGAAACTGCATTCAATGAACTACGAAATCTTGTTTCAAGTTATGAAGAATTACGAAATCAACTGGGTAGCATTAAACAATTATTACGTGAAATAGAGATTGGATTTTGGAGAGATCAAAGAGAGGCTTTACAGGTAGGTTCTGGTTATTTTTGCTTTGAGTAATTCTCACAAAGTCGACATTCATTTAATATGCATCCTTCTTAGGTGAGATCAGGATTTTAGCTGACTATCCAGTCACTACTGGGATTTGAGATCCTAATTGTAATCATCCTTATTTGCTACGTTGACAAAAACAACAATAAAAACAGATCAGAATTTGAATAAAGCAAGAACAATTGTTTCTTCACAATGAAATGGTAACATTGTTGTTTATTTCATTGGCTTCTCATCAGCTGCATACGGAAATTATTACTTTGTCTATGAACGGAACAATCTTAACATACTTGCAAATGTTATATTGTAACTACATAAGAAAAGGGCTAGGCAACAGATCGTTTATTGAGAAAATCAAAAGATGTTTATAGATTTTATGTACATTATTATTAGCATTGTTAGCAGAGAATTAACGTCTCCTGATTGATAGTTTTCTTGCTGAAGGTTATTCTGTCATCTGTTTGTGGCCGTTTCTTAGAAAGTTAAGCCATATATCTGCGAATCGTATTTGCACATGTTAAGTCTGCTATGACTGGTTGTTGCGTTCCTCAAGGTTATGCTTTTTATTGTTTTTCTCACGACCCCGATCCGGGACGTAAACTCTGACGTAAATTGTTGTCTGCAATTTTGATTTGCAGATAGCTCTCTCCACAATATGATGTCAACTGACAGGAGATTCCAAACCTGATTAACAGTGCTCAAAATATCACACTTATACTGCTTTTACCCAAAGAGTTCAAGTTTAAACAAACTGAATGTTTGCATACAGTGGTAAAGCAGTTACGTAATAAGGACAAGTGGTGAGTAAGATGATGAGCGTAGTCAGTTCAGCTTAAATCATGGAAACAAGAGACAAGCAAAGTTGCACTACGTAAAAAGGGGTGGGGAGATGTTAGGGCCGAAGATTGTTTGAATAAATAAAACAGAAAGAATAAAGCTTCCAGTTATCAGAATAGGCAAGGAAAGACTGATAACTGTTTCGTTCTGAACTCATAAATCGGGTTTCAGGTGTTTGACAGACACTGCTTCTGCGAATCTCAGGAGGATTTAGCTATTTTGTCTGTTGATAATGTCGAAGGAATCTGTGATGTCCACTTCATGATGCGCATTGATGAGATGTCTGCTAATGGCACTATTGTAAGCATTTGTTCCCTTGAGACGTAGGGTTGTTGGTACACGTTCAGAAAGTCGGAGGTATGCCCTTCTTTCTATTCTCCCAATGTAACTGCTCCCGCGGATACAGTTAGGGAACAAGCATTTTGCTGGTACACTTTAAAAGCATTCAAAGTATCGTTGTGCTTAGCTCTCTTTACTAAACATTGACACATCGCTTTAAGAACATGATATTCAGCGAAGAGACTCTTTTCAACGAAACTATATCCAGTGAGGAAGTCTAAACGAAGGTGTGAATACTTGGATTAATAGTACTGTGAAGTGTGATTAAAATGCTTTTGACTGTAATCATAGTTAAATATCAAGTGTCAAGTGGCAAAACAAATGATGCCATATATAGAATAATTCATAAGATGTTGGTAGGGGGTGTATAATTATAGGGTTAGTAGTCTAATATTAAACGTTACATCACGTGGTGTGAAATTTGATAAGACAGAATCGAAAATTGGCAAGTAGGACAAGTGAAATAATACCGGAAACTATTCAAAGTGGTAGTTGTAGTAATAAGGAAAAGTTACATAAATTAAGTCGACAAACCGAAAAATGAAGGAAAAAGTGTTCATCCATCTACGGCAAAGTTAGAAATAGTGACTGTTCATAATTCTTCAGTACACACAAAGGTCTGGCTTGACTTTATGACTGGCCAAAGCTTTCACTGTCTTCAGCAGTTTGGAGCGAAGTAAATGTGACAAGTTAGTATGAGTTCATTGGAGAGATAATCTTAAAATCATGCTCAAGGTTGATGGAGTGACATCCATTTAAATCAGAAAAATATATAGCTATGATTTGTAATTCACTTGTTGAGTCTGATACAACTGTAAAATGAATTCTTCTCGTTACTGACACGCTAAAATCTCTGAATAACACACATAAGGTGTCTTTTGAGTTATTATTATATTATTATTGTTTCCTTTAATTCCTAGAGGAACATAGGGCTTCATCAGCACGTCTCCATTGCATTCGGTTCTCTGCCATGATTTTCACCGGGCTCAGTGTCTGCCTACATGTTTTCATCTACTGTTCACATGACCTTATCTTCCCTGTCACTCTCGCACTAACGATCAACGAACTCGCCGCTTCTCATTCGAGTTCCACTCGAGCAATGGTCTGGTGTGTGATATCACTTGATGGTTTGTTTCCTCAGAGTATGGCCAACCCACCTCCATTTCTTCCTCATATTTCTTGCACAGTTGGTACCTGGTTTGTTCGTTCGTTACAGAGATGCCTGTTGTTGATGTCTTCTGGCCAGCCATCTGATCTTGAGCAGTATTGAGCAAAGACAGTTGCTGATGAAGATCTGTACCTTGTTCGAAGTACTCTTCTTGACACGGTGCCAGGTCTCTGATCCTTTAAATAGCACTGACTTGACATTGAAGTTGAAAATCAGGATTGTATTTTCATGCTGAGTACTGTTGATCTTCACACAGACTTGAGAGTAATGGAAGCTTGCCTTACTTTCCCGAACGGTGCTGTTTTGATATCGTCATCACTTCTGTCCATTTTTAGTTGAAACGATGCTTCCCAGTTAGGTAGGTAGGCAGGTCAAGGAGGTTGCTTCTTTCAGATTTCTATCATTTATGCTCATTGTTGTCAGTTGTTGTTGCTGTTGCAGTTGGAGTTGGTCAGGAATCTTCATCACCTCTGTTTTCTCTATGTTCACCTGAAGTCCTTCCTATGTTTGATGCTTCTTCTGGTAACTTGTTGCTTTTCACTTGCATATATTCCAGTTTGTGAGAAATCAGACATATATCATCGTGGGCGAAATCAAGATCCTCCAAGTTTTTTTAAGTGGGTCCGTCTTTATTTTTGTCTGTCGCACTATTCAGTCAAACACAGTCAGAGAAATAATTGGAGATAATAGACAGCAAGCTTGTCTTACTCCTGTCTCCACGTCGAAGGATTAAGTGAGTTTCCCGTTGTGGATTACTTGGTATGCAGTAATGTCTTACAACTGCTGTATGTATAGTTGTTCTCATGTAGAGAACATGACAAAATGGAGGTGTGCAGTTGAATTCCTGTGTTCCACTCCTAACCCAAAAGAAAAGTAATAACAATTTCGGCATTGTGCTAAAATATAACAAGTAATCAATGAACTTCAAACCAGAGTTACAGTAATGCGCGTATTGAACACGAGTAGAAAAGGGATTTATCTAATTGCATCTGAACAATAAAATCTCTAGTTTGAAGGTCACCTTCATTTTCAGGATCCATTATTATCTACATATTTAAATATCTAAGTTGGAGTAGAGTGTTAAATATTCGATTTGTCACACTAAAACAGCTTGCAAGCATTAATGTGATCTCATAGAAATGCAAACTTGACTGAACTTACCAACTTCCCGTAACATGGATGATTTCGAAGGAAAGGACACAATTTATTTTTACTCAGTAAGTTTGTATAATGAACAGTAAGTATACTTAGAAATATGCTTATTAATTAATTAACTAATGAAAGAGAAATGATAAATTACAGGGCTTAGAAAACCAAGTTTAAAATTACTTAATTTGCTATTTGTACAGCATAAGCATCAGTCATTATTTTTCATTCCATCGTCTTCTAAATTTAGAGAAAAGGAAACTGCTTTGTCATTTCAAATGACAATCATTTATTCCACGAATAATTTCACGTAAATTTTGTCCGACGTGAAGTTTTCAAGAGTTTATGCATTACTAGGAAGTTTTATTTCCTGCCTAATATGAGTAAAACTTTAGCTAATTGCTTCAATTGCACATACACACACTGTTTAAAATTGAGCTTTCTAGTATTAGTTTTTTTACGGGTTGATCACGGATTGATATCAGTTAGAGAACCATTAAATCCAGCTAGAAGAAATGGACAGCTATTTCATCAGCCTAGTTTGGAAATCATCGGCAGTAAGCACCTACCACAGGGGGTTCAAATGCAGGACCTTCTAGTTACAAGGTAAGCTCGTATACCATTCAGCCACTAGTACCTGATTCAATGGCCAGCACATGAATTCTAACTTCTACCAATTCGTAATTTAGCGCCACCCCAACCAATATCGTCGGTGGGAAATCCATCCTCACGCTTGACATCTGGATGGACCTCACTGGTCACGACTTCTCACTAGAATGGTATACGAGCTTGCCTTGTTACCGGAAGGTCCTGGGTTCGAACCCCAGCGCGTACTGCCGATGATTCCCAAACGAGGCTGATGAAACAGCTGTCCAGTACTCCCTGTGGCTGGTTTTCAATGCTTCTCTAACAGATATCAATCCGCGATCAACTCGTAAAAACAAATCTAATTCTTACAAACCAATCATAGTATTATTTTGTTGGGAATTTGATTTGTGTAAAATGTTATCACGGAGTGACTGATATCAGTTAGCGAACCACTGGGAGTAATGACGGCTGCTTCATCCTAGTTCGGGACTCATAGGGGTGGTACCAACCCACTGAGGTCCAAACAGAGGATCTTCTGACAACAAGGTGAGCTCACTGACCAGTCAGTCACCGGGATCCGAAGTAATGGTCTACCAATTCTGACTTCTATTAAGAAGAAACAGATGTCCAGCACTACCTGGTTTTCAGTGGTTCTCTGATATCACTCCATGGCCAGACTTGAAACAAATGAAATACCCATAGACTAAATCTTCAAAACCAGTTTGATGCTCACTAGTGACTACCTACAGGAAGAAGTTCCCCGAAGTCATGACCAGTGGTGTGCATCCAGTCGATATTCAGGAGTAATGCTCGCCAGCCAAAGATAGTGGCTGGTGCCAGTCACGCTAATATCACCAATTGGTAGAAATTATAATTCTTAGGCCATTGTAATCAGAAAGTT